AGGAGGACTGAGGCAGGGGAGGGGAGGGGAGAGAACACTGATGTGAGAGAGAAACATCAGTCAGTTCCCTCTCACACACACCCTGACCAAGAATCGAACCCACGGCCTAGATATGTGCCCCGACCAGGAATTGAACCTGCACACTTTTGTTGTACAGGACGATGCTCCAACCAACTAAGCCACTTGGCCAGGGCAGAATCTTTTTATCTTATATGCTTTATACTAAGGAATTTTGGGTCATTTTTCTTTCAAATAATTTAAATGGTTTCTTCCCAGTTTTCATTCTTTTCCTTTCCTTGGGGCTTCCTTAACTAAGTAGTGACAGTTCTCCTCCCTCTAAATTTCCCCTTACTCCTCAACTTCCTTTAGCACTTTCTGATGTGTTCTACTGAGGAGTCCCTCGCAGCTTGTTAGCTCCTTTGTTTGCTAGGCGTAGACTACACTTCTTCCCATGTCTACTAACTTCTGCCACTAGCCATCTCAAAGTATGTGGAGTTGTGAGGTAAAGGGGAAGACATAGACTTATTTATCTCTTAGTAGCCAAACCTTCTCCATGGGGTAAAGTTTGGAGATGTAAATGAGATGTAAATGGATTTCTGTTTTCATCATATTAAAAAGAAGGGTTATAAGAATGACTAAAATCCAATTATTGTTGCTTTATGTAGTCAGTGTTTAATTAGATGCATCCTCATTGATATCAGGCTCTTTGGTCTCCATTGCTTTGCGGTCCTTTCCTCTCGGATCGTATCTCTTCTCACAGTACATCATTTTTAAGCCCTTTTGGATGGATCTGTTGGGGACAGGCCCTCAGGTTTTGTTTCCATGAGTCTCTATTTAAACTTCAGCTTGAATAAAATTTTAGCTAAGTTTAGGAGTTTATAATGACACTTATTTTTTCTCTTGACATTTTGAATGCTATGTATTCACTTCCTTATGTTGAATGCCAAGACACCATCTTTGTCATTTTCCTAATCTTAAAAGAAAACTTTCAACATTTCACTGTTTTTCATGATGTTTGCTGTAGGTTTTTATAAATGTCCATTAATTACAAAAACATTTCCTTCAGTGTCTAGTTTGCTGAGATTTTTCTTTTTTAATGAATGTTTTAGTGGCTGTTGAATTGCATCACATGTTTTGTACCCAGAGATATAAGAATTATAGATTTTGAAGTTAGTGATGTGCTTGATCACATTAATCAAATCTCTAATATCACAGTATTCAAGGAAAAAGCCAACTTATTGCTGGATTCAGTCTGTTAAAACTTGTTTAGTATATTCATGAGACCCACTGCCTAGCTACCACTTTGTTTAGCATATTTAAATCTAAGTGAGGACTGAAGTAGATAACTATTTTTACTTTCTTTTACAGTCCCTGCCTGGTCTGAGTATCATAAAGTGTGTTTAGAAGTGTTCCTCTTTTCTGTTCTCTAGAGAGTTTATGAAAATTGAGAATAAATTTCTTGAAAGATAGTTAGTTTTTGGACCAGGTCCAGGAAGATTTTTAACAATTAGTTTTAACTATCCTGTGGTTACAAAACAGTTCAGCTTCTCTATTGCTTCTTGGAACTATGTTAGAAAGTTTTAGTAAGTTTTTAAAAACATCATTCCATTCTATATAAGTTGTCAAGTTTATTGTCATTAAATTTATAACCTTCCTATTTCTGCTTAAACTTTACATTACCTGTAATTATGCCTTCATGTTTTATTTCCAATAGTGTTTATTTTGCCTTCTCTTTTTTCTTACTAATTCTCAATTTTATTAGCATTCACAGGGAACTAGATTTCAGCTTTCTGTTGTTTCTTTTTATTCTTTTTTTCCTATTTTTAAAATACCTCTCTCCCTTCCTCTTTTCCATTCCTAATGATACTAAGCCATTTTGTGATGGAAAAGACTGGTTTTGAAAATATCATCCCATACTGAATTATATTTGCAATCAAATGTTTAAGTTATTGAAATTGTGTTTTGGAGGAAAATATATAGAACAAAGAGTTACACATTCAAGATTTAATTGTTACCTCCACATACATGCACTTAAGTTTTTTATGTTACCATAAATTTCAGAGCATCTTAATGGAACTATTTGCTGTAAAGAAATACATGGGTACAGATTTCTTTGAAGATAAATTTTGTGGTATTTATCCAAGAACTTAAATCCTCCATTTAAATTATTTGATTTTTTAAAATATAGTATTTTCATGTAAACATTTAAAAGCCTACTTGACATAAACATCTAATTCCATATTATGTGTTTAATGATCTTCTCTTATTACAGAAAAAGAAAAAAAGGACATTGTACTACTTTTATTCATTTGCTTGGAAATGCTGAGTTGTGCATTTCTGTTCTGGATTCCTAGGAACACAAGGCATTTTAAGTTTGAAAGTTCTTTTCTTAATTGACATATTAAATGGTTTCAGCAATTAAGTTGAAAAAATTCAGCTCTGACTCCTGTAACATATGGAGTGTTTGGTTCTAACAAAATACCCAACCCTGCTCCTCATTCTCTTAAGAAAGGGCTTGGAATCACACAGCTCTAGCAGCGCACGCCCACGAGGTTCCACAGAAGGTAAACACGGCCCAAACCATTTCTTCAGCGTTTTCGTGCTTTCTTGTAGACAGTCTGGTTTGAACTTCTGGATCTGAGTTATTTTTAAGAGTGCGGCTGCTGCTTACTCACCACAGACCCCTAGACCTGCAGGAGGAAAGGGGGAAGAGACCACCTCTCGGGGCTTATCCTGCAGGACTGTGCTTACCTTGAACCGCGGCCAAGAGAGCTTTTATGCTCTCGGCGCCTGGCCTGGAAGTCAGTGAAAGCACCTGCTGTTTGAACAGCAGACAATGGTGGGGGGCCGAGTGCGGACCACCAACAGTGCACGCCAGGCAAGTGGGGTCCCAATGCTTTGGCCCATTGCGGCGCCAAAGGCTGGGTTTTTACTTCACTGTGCATCGATCGACTAATGAACTTGATGAAAATAATCCACGTTTTCACACAAGCAACCTTCATTGAGCATAAGTTAAGCAACGTTCTTCCTTGGCAGAAAACTCGGCATTTGACCCCATGATGATAAAACATCTTTACCAGAACGATCTTAGCAGGAAAAATAAGTAAATAAATAAATACTTTCAGGAATTAAAATTCTCAGGTTAGAGATCTGTTAATTCAAATAGAAATATGTCCTCAAAAGTAAATTAAACAGTTAACCTCTCTGTTTTTAAGAGTCTAAAATATTGTATAGGAGCAATTGGATTCAGGGATTTTTTAAAAAATAAGTTCTTGGATGATGTCTTCATAAATGATATATGCAAACAAAAGTTACAAAATAAGCTCATACCCTAAATATAATAAGATACACTTGTATGAAATATTTTGAAGCAGAAATAGGTCATAATAGGTAATACAATGTAAATAAAATATATCCCACTCTCACAGAGAGGGTTGGATTTTTAAGAGCCTACAAACATTTCAGAAACCTAAATATTTAAATAGGAGGAATAGGAAAACAATATTTTGAGAGTTATGACAAATTCATTGTTAGCATTGCAACAGACCCGTTTAAAATGTTAGCTTAAAGCCCTGGCTGGCGTAGCTCAGTGGATTGAGCATGGTCTGCGAACCAGGCATTGCAGGTTTGATTCCCAGTCAGGGCACATGCCTAGGTTGCAGGCCATGGCCCCCAGCAACCACACATTGATGTTTCTCTCTCTCTCTTTCTCTCTCTCTCTTCCCTCTCTAAAAATCAATAAATAAAATAAAAAAATAAATTAAAAGTTTAAAAAAATGTTAGCTTAAATATATCTTTTCCCATGTATTTTATGGATTTGAGTCATGTTAATTTGAACTTTGCTGTGGTTTTTAGTCTGTTTTGAACACCACCACCCGAGTAAACCTCCTAAAATAATGGCTTTATCTTACCAATCTGCTGGTCAGCTACTAACTGGCTTCTTTCTCACTCCAAATATGGAGACCCCTGTCCTTCCTGGCATTCGACATGGGGTTCTTCCGCCTTTGAAACCCTGGTCATGACTCCCTCCCTCCTTCACAGCCTGGCCTTCCATATGGCCACTTACTTCTTCTGCCTCCATGGGCCTGTCCGCTTCTACCCTCTCCCCCAAATATCTGGACAGGTTGCAACACAATATATTCACTATAGATTTCTTTCATCCCCTTTAAATGTTCCTCATGGGTTTCCTGTGTCTATAAAATTTGCAAATAATATGCTTTTGTCTAAAAAAACGTCAACCATCATAGAGAAAGAGAAAGCCCTAAAGAATGTGCCAGCTGTGGCTGCTGATATCCGTGCCCCTGGGAGGCCACAACTCTACCTGGGCCTCAGGTTTCTGAGCATCTTCCCTCCCCCATTTCCTTCGGGGTTTCCTCTGTCATTGTTTCCATGTCTCTGCTGCTTTATCCCAGCATTTTTTTTTATTCCTTTCAAGTTTTCCTCAGAAAAAGACCCTTGTATCCTGGAGGTCTAGAACTCATCCCTTCTGAGGTTAAATGACCCACCGAGGGGCTCTGTGTTGGGTCGTGGGCAGAGGCTGTACAATGAGACACGAGTCGCTGTGGCCTTTGGGTGTAAAGCAGAGCTCAGTGGGGACAGGCTCTAGGCCAGGAGACACTCAGTCCACACAATGAACACCCACTCCAACTCCTCCGACCTGCTTTGTGGAATGATTTTTGCACTATCCACAAAAATAAGTAACGATTTTTAGTCCACACTTTTTTCTACTGTAGCCACTTAACATTGCACAGTCACCTGTGTTTCACTAAAAGAAATTTTAAAATATTTGAACGTATTAAACAGATTTCTTGTTTTGTGTATCAATCTTCTCAGCACTATAAATAAGCCATATACTATTTCAAGTTCAATATTAAAAGTCCCTAACACCTTTTTTTTTCAGATAATTTCTGTTCTATTGAAATGACTTTCTCAAACATAATTGATTTAGCCTCAAAAATGGGATACATTCCCCTTATTAGTTATGATGCCCTTGTTTTCAGCATGTGATTTGCACAGGCTTGTGGTGCAAGGTGGAAGGCGAGAAGGAATGCAGAACCAAACTCGACCCCCCGATGGACGGGACTGACTGCGACACTGGAAAGGTAGGTCGCTCGTGGGGCCGGAGGTGAGCGGGACATCGAATGCAACTTAAGAAACTTGCACTGCTTCCTGCCAGCCACACCTGTGTCCTTCTCAACACTAGCGGAATACTTTCAGTATGTATAAAATTTTCAGCATTTCATCTCTAATATTTTTAACTCTTATATTTTTAAAATCCATGGTTGTTTTGTTAATATTGGTGCAATTATTTTTATTATTGTTGATTGTGAGAATGTTGAAAGTCAGATAGTTATATGTATTACCTTGCCAAAAAAAAGGATCCATACTTATTTTACTATTTAAATCAAACATGAGTAAAATAATCACAAATAATAGAATACATAAGAAAACTTCTCAGAACTGATGAAGACTTTCAGGTATAAAATATTGTCTCAGGAGAGCTACTGAGTATAATTTTTCCTTGTCATTTCAAGCATCAAAAATAAAATATTCTAAGTGACATTTTGGAGATTAGTAAATATTTGGCTGTATAAGTTGTTTAACATGTTTTATAAGGCTATAGGAATTTATTAGTATGTATTTCCAAATCAAAATAATTGCTGTTGAAAATTTAAATTTCTTTTGAAGAAAACAAAGGAGTTGGATTCTATATAAACATATAGTTGTAGTAAATTTAATCAAAAGATAACAGTTCAATAGTTTCCATAGTTTTAACATTTATATTCTGTGAAGGGAAAGTGGAGTGGTTATCCCTTTATTCTAGACGAAAGATCAGAAACCTTGCCTCTGAAGAACATGGATTCTTGTTACATTTAAAAAGAAACAGCAGCATAAAGATTACTTGGGGTGAACACTTAGTGAAAAAAAAGTGACACTTTAAAAACATATTCATTTGAAAAATTGACAGAGTATAAATCTAGCAATTCTACTTCCAGAATTTTGTCCTAAGGAAATACTTACGCATGTGCACCAAGACAGGCATGCAGGTGTGCACACACACACAAACACACACACGGGGTGGTTTGTAAATGCAGTTTGCGATGCTAAGAAGTGGGGAACAACAGAAATATTCCTCAGCAGAAGAGCGGCGGCAGTGCAGGGGTTGAAAGGGTGGAGCAGTCTGCAAGGCCAGCTGGTGGGAACACGGGCAGGCAGAAACCCTGGTGCTTCGGTGCTTCGGTGCTTCGGTGCTTCGGGATACCACTTGAGAGTTAAGAAAAAACAACGTGTATCCAGATGTGAATACACGTTACAAAGTGTATATATTTAAATGTCTATAAAATGGCTTGGAAATAGAAACTCCAAACTGTTGTTAGTAGTTAGCTCCTGGGAGGGAACTGGAATTGATGGGTGGGAGTAAAGCAACTGGAGGTGAGGGTGGGTGTGGCTTTTCTCCAGGCATTTCTGGACTGCTTGTTCTAAGTCTGTAGTCATTTATTGCTTCTATGATTTCTTTAATTAAAAACAGAAAAAATGTATAAACTTTTAAGTCCAAAATATCTTTTAAAAGGCTAGAAATGTTGTACCACTACATACAACGGTAAGAAAACAGCTCCTCAGAAGGGAGCTTCCGGGAGATACCGTCAGTTGCTCACTGCGGTGCCAAAGGCTTTTCTCGGAGCTTACACGGAGAGTCAGAATTTGGATTTGTTTTATTTTTAAATTCTGCACAAAAGTAGGTTAATGTGTGTGCATTGGGCAAGCCTTACGGGGTCGTGCTGAGCAATATATTGCTTGAATCACCAAACTGCAATTGTCCCTGAAACACGAAAGCACTCCCCAACAAAGGTTACAAACATTTTGCCACATTTCTTCAAATATCACACAACCCATTCTCCTTAGTAATTCTTGAGCAGTATAAAAGCTCTTTCTTTTTATGATCTGGTGCCTAAATAACTTTCTGCTATTATTTTTCTTCTGATATTTATGAGAATAATTTGTATCCTCCAGGTCTCTAAACTCATCCAAAGTAAAATGTTTTATTTCCCTGTAATTGTGCTAATGATCGTCTTTTAGTGGTGTGGCTGTGCTGCTCTGCATATTGAAATAACTAGTGAACCTCTCAGCTCCTCGGGCCACGTGGGCTTCCTCACATGTCCGCCCGCTGTAGCTGTTCTAGGACTCATCACGAAAATAGCTCCCCACGCTCTGCAGCAGAGAGCCGCAGTGCTAAAGTGTTTGAATGCTTGCGACCTCGCACTGAACACTGCTAGCTCCCTACGTTGCTAACCAAGAAACAAAGCTGGGGATTTCGTTCTGAGTACACTCTGGTGATTAATCTAGCTGTATAACTAGCTTGCCTATGGACATATAGTTAAGTTGAGAAAGTGCCTACAGAATTCTGTGATTCAAAATGGTTGTGAATATAGGGACTTATCTACTACTTACACACAGTACTTTCTAAATTAAAAGCAGTTTGTTTTCTTTCTTCTGTTCTCTTAAGTAATACTATCATCTGTGTTTACATTTATATTGAATAGAGGTTAAAGAGCTGATCAATAATTTGGTAAAAACCAAGAGGCATAGGTTTTTAACTTACAGTGTTTGGTGGGGATTGGGAGAGGGGAAAGGAAAATTTTATACCAATCTACCAGAATTTTAGACTGTCTTGAAGGATTCTGTATAATATATTTTAGTTATTTTTTTCCTAAATTGAGATTCTTAAAAATTACCATTGTCGATCTTTATTTTAAAAAGTGAAGGCTGGAATGTCCTCACAGTAACACACTCGCGTACATACGGAGTCTGCTGCCTTCTTTCTCACTCTCTTCTCTTTCCCAACGATGTGTGTATAAGAAAGTGTGATTAGAAAATAATGTTTCCTTAGGCATCTTCATGGACCTCTTCCCACTGGGTGTTTTCATGAGCTTCCTAGACATGTCTGCACAGAAATTTGAGGGGCTAGAAATACAATCAATTTTTTAGGTCATGTATCTCCCAGAAATAGTCCGTATTCACACATAGCCTCTTAACATTTCCATAAATCAAACTCAGTTAGAAGATATGACAAATTTTGACTGGTTTAGACCAGGCATAATATCTTTTTTTTGAGGCTAAAAACTCCAAATGGAACAAGAGATACTGCTAGAAAATGTATGGAAAACATCATCAGGAGCATGTTACATTCAAAGTCATCAGACTACGCCATATAATCATTGAATGACAACATTTAACACTTGCCTCCATATCGAAGCCCTGGGCCAGATGGCAGACACAAAATCGGCTTCTCACAGTTGCCTCCAGAGAGAGGCTTCTCTGCAAGGTGATGAACTCTAAGTAGTAGATGACCTTTTCTTTAGCCTTCACTGATGGGTGTATGCAAGTTTGGCTGGCAGATCTGCTTCCATTTCTCTCCACCTGCCGGGCTTGGTCTAGTTGCACTGGTGTGCAGCCTAGGTTTCGGTCTTTCCCAGAGCACCTGTGGTTGGCTGTCACCTCTAGCCCGGCCTTTGGCGCCAGCCTGCTGCTCAGCAGGCAAGGAGCTGTGGCATCACTCTGGGAAAATAAACACCTTTCGAGTAGGCCGAACAATTTGACCAGTCGAAGTTTGGCAGCTTTTACCTTGGATTCTCTGTCCGTGAATGACATAATACCATGTAATCCTAAAAACTGTAAGTTGTTTGTATGTTTTCAGAGGGTCTGTTTTTGCCCTCTCTTGAAATTTTCAGGCTAAATCTTTCTACGAAATCTCAATGGTTTCATGACAGACACAGCATATCATTATATCTGACTTGTTGAGGTTTGTTTTTTTAAGCCCAGATTTAAAATTCCTTGACTCTAAAAGAAGTTGAATTTGAAATTTGTCATGGTTAGAGAAAATCTGCAGGAACTAATTACTTTATTGCATAGAAAAGCGTTGTGTGGGCTCAAACAAAACTATGGGGTGTGGTTTCTAAGTCTTCTCTTCTAAAAATAGCATGTAAGAACATATTCTCAAAAGAAATTTTAAAGAAACATGGATCAGTGAAGATCAGAATGAATAAAACTTCGGTTATGTGTCTAGAAACTCATTACTAACAGTCATATAATAATACATCTCATTTACTTTTGTCGTGGTTCACCTTTATTGAATCTTTCACATGGGCTGCGCGTCGCGCTTAGCGCTTCTTTCAACCCCTGCAAAGAGTCTATTGGATCAATTCGATGATCATTCTCATTTTGAAATGGGAAAGTTGAGGATCAGAGTGTTTCCCCCAGATTCCTCATAAATCATGTTGCCCTTCGGTGCAGAAAATCGTCTAGGACTGGGGACGGTCGGCTTGCCCATCCCCTGTCACGGCACAATCATTGAGATCATTTCTCCTCATCTTTACTTACTGTTCTCAACGTGATTTTGCTCAATCAATTTTCACCTTGAACATGTTTGCTGCAGCCCTAAGGAGAAGTTATAATGAGCTGTGTACCAGGTTGGCGAGCCAATCCTCAGAAACCACCTCTTTTCCTGCTTTGATTTATAACTCATGAGAAAAGTCAGTGACAAAAAAGGAGGCGCACTCTGTCTCCTCCTCTCACTGCTCCCTTTCTTAGTGAGGGGGCATGAAGTAAGCTACAGAGAAATGGAAACAACGGAATTTCAAAGAGCCTAATTGCCCATGTTTTCCAAATAAACAGCATTCAGAAGAAATCTGGCTTGAATTTGATGGGACCTCTTTCAGAAAAAAAAAAGAGAGAGAAAAGACATAAAGGAAAGTGCTAAAATTAAATAATACTTATTTTTTATTTATAAGGAGAGTAGCCTGAATCCCTGACATTTCAAATCAAAGTTGCTGAATTTGCTAAAATTCTTCTTCCCTCTAGTTATAGGGACATCCATGTCTCCATTCTTAATCTGTATGTCTCTGCTTTTTGGTTTGTCACCTTTCCATTGCTATGTGTTTAGAGTATGTTACTCTCCCGTCCTGGCCTGCGCAGCCCCCTATTCCCCCCCTATCCCTGTCACAAGACCTGAACTCTCAGGGCTGGCTGCGGTCCATGGTCATGATGAGACCACTTGATCCTACAGGAGACCTGGGGGAACTGGCCATTGTGTTCCTGCGACAATAAGCAAGAGCCACCTGATCGGTGGTCTCTTTCAGATACTTGTGTTTGGGGTAGGGATCCAGGAAACCCGATTTAATCGCAATTCCCATGACTCTGTAGGCCAGTGAATGATTTTCCGTGTGCCCTGATTTGTTCACCTAAGACATGACTTTTGGAATAGTGGTGTAAGGCTGGCGAGTGTACCAGCAGGACCTCCGCACCTGGACACGTGGCGGGAGAGTGGAGCGTGTGGAGCCCCTGCAGCCGCACCTGCAGCGCCGGGACCAGCAGCCGAGAGCGCAAGTGTCCCGGGTAAACGCGAGCTCCTGGGTCAGGGGAGGGGGTGGTTTTTCCTTCTGTTTTGAAATGCAAAGATTTCACTGATAAACCATGTCAGGAAGCAAACATGCCCCTCAAACCCTTACTCCACTTTGGGAAACTAATGAGTCCCTCACATTATTTATTTTATATGTTGTAAAAGCTCCCTTTAAAAAAGACCTCATTTATATGTGGAATCTAAGAGCAAAATAAATAAACAAAATAGAAACAGATACAGAGGCAGACCGGTGGTTGCCAGAGAGGAGGGGAGCTGAGGGGGGCTGGGCGATGAAGGTGAGGGATTAAAAAGTGCAAACTGGTCATCACGAAACGGTCATGGGGACGTGAAGTGCGGCAGAGGGAATACAGTCAGTCATGCTGCAATAACCGGGTGCGGGGCCGTGGGCACTGCCAACAGCAGGGGGACCACTCTGAAAAGCGCATGATTACCCAGCCACTATGCCATCCATCTGCAACCAATACAGAATATTGTCGAATGTCAACTGTCATTGAAAACAAAATTAAAAAAAAAAGAAAAAGAATAAGAGCAATCCTTCTAAGACAAACACGTGAACGCTACACAGAGCAGACTCTTGGTTAAAGCCAATAGAATGTGTTGAGAGAGCAGTAGATGTGTGTTTGAAAGAGTAAGTCAGCATTTACAGGAACCGTGAGAGGAGCAGGAAGAGGGCAGGACTTCAGAAAGGGGAGGCACAGGAACAAAATCAGTGCGAAAAGAAGCTAAGAAAAACGAGGAATAAAAGCGTGCTCAGCACGTATACGGGCAGGGGGCACGACGAGATCCTCCTGCTCGATCCTGTCACCCGAGTGCGGTCCCGGGCAGGTGTGACATAGTCACTTCAGCCTCACGCTCCAAGTCTGGGCATGGGCTCAGTGGCCCAACTCCTTCTCACGCAATTTTAAAGAGTTTATGTGAAAACATTAGAAGCATCTTAATAATCCTTAGACACAAGTTCCTTCCTGGGAACCTTAGGCTTTCTGTTTCGCCCCAGCCCCTGCCGGTTACTCTTTTTAATTTTCATGGCAAGTTGGCTTTTATTTCATATGTATTCCAGAAGTTCAATTGCTGAAAGGTTGGGAAAAATGCATAGTTTTAAAAAAAATAAACATGGGTTTCTTACTATTACTGGTCATTTAATGAGCCCACATTTTCAAAAGTATATTAATATATTAAAGTATACGTCATTACTCTAATGCCTTTTAATTTTTAAAAAATGAGTAGTTAACCTAAAAAAAAGATAAAATTGATTATTTGTACTATCTTTTCTAGGCTAGGTTCTGAAACGAGGGATTGTAATGGTCCCAGAAAACAATACAGAGTATGTGAGAATCCACCTTGTCCTGCAGGTTTGCCTGGATTCAGAGACTGGCAATGTCAGGCCTCTGGTGTTAGAGCTTCGTCCTCAAAGCATGTGCTTCAGTGGCAAGCCGTCACGGATGAAGGTAGGAGCGACCAGACCCCGCGTCTAGGTGTGCAAGGTGTGCTACTAGAATAGGAGGTGCATTCTAGGGATTCAAAGCTCCAGTTTTTCTGCTTTTCACTGTGAAGCAACCACAAGCACTTGCTAAAAGGCACATTGAAAATATGGAGCTCTTCCCGCACACCTGTTAGAGCACTAACATCAGAAAGAGTGGCAATCCTCAAGGCCGGTGAGGGCGAGAGGCCCTGGGTCCATCACACTTTGTGGGTAGGAGTGTAAAGCAGTACGTACAGCTGCTGTGAAAAATAGTGCAGCAGTGTCTTAACTAACCGAATAGATGCTTGTGATGTAGTTTAGAAAGTGCAGTCCTGTGTATTTACCCCAGAAAAATGAAAATGTACCATCGTAAAAGATCTTGTACACGTAGGTTTAAAGCAGCTTTATTTTCAATGGCCCCAAACCAGAAACAACCAGAAAGGTTCTGAGTAGTCAAACAGTTCGACAAACTGAGGTGCATTCAGACTGTGGGATAGTAAGCCGCAGTAAAAGGAACAAACTGCTGATGTGTGCAGTGACATTGTTTTATTTCAGAGCATTATGCTGATTGAAAAGAAACTGTCCCTCAGGGTCACTACTGTATGGTTACATTTATGTAACAGACTGAGATGGACACCCAGGTTGGCGGTTGCCAGGAAGTAGGGATGGTGGCGAGGAGGGGATGGTTGTTACTGTGAAGGGGTAGCAGAAGCTAGAACGTCGTGCTGATGAAAAGCAATTCAATATATTGATTGTAGTGGCGGGTGTAAAACCTACAAAACAAAATTTAAAGAAAAAGAGTAAGACCAATCCTTCTAAGAACAAACACGTGAACCCTACACAGAGCAGACTCTTGGTTAAAGCCAATAGAATGTGTTGAGAGAGCAGGGAGACGTGTGTTCGAAAGAATAAGTCAGCATTTAAAGGAACCTGTGACAAATGGCATAGAACTGTACACACAGGGGTACCAACGTCTGCTTCCTGGGTGTGCTGTTGTACTAGTGTTACCAGCATGTGACTCTGGGGAGAAACTGGGTGAAAGGCATACAGGACCTCACAGTACTGTTTTTGCAACTTCTTGTAAGTCTTTAATCATGATAAGAATTTTTAAGAAAATTATGTTACACCCTGGCTGGTGTGGCTCACTGGATTGAGTGCTGGCCTGGGAACCAGGAGGTCACCGGTTTGATCCCCAGTCAGGGCACATGCCTGGGCTTCAGGCCAGGTCCCCAGCGGGGGCCATGTGAAAGGCAACCACACATGGATGTTCTCTCTCTCCTTCCCTTCCCCTCTCTCTAAAAAGAAATAAAATCTTTTTTTAAAACAAAAAGAAAAAATTATATGTTGTCTTGTTACTTACAAATGATAATTCAGCCCATGGTCAGTGGGCTGTGGGTTTGAGTTTCGGTCACCAAAAACGGTGGTGAATTCTCTGTCTTAACTGACCATCAGCCACTGGTATCTCCTTTTGTTACTTCTCCCCTCGGTCAGTTTGGGCTGTTCTTCCCATCATTTCGATATTACTGCTGCTAGTAGCCTAAATTCTGCCCCTGATCAATCTCAGGGCACCTATCTAACAAAGCCTGTCCTGCAGGGTGGGTATCTAAGCGTATGAGCACTAACGGAACCACCAAACAGTAGGGCACATCACTCCACCAGACTGGGCGGGAGGGGGAGCAGCTGTCAGGTCATTAACTGCCTCCTCTTCTTGCAGGCAAACCTGCACGTGTAACTATCGCTGCAGACATTCCCTCTGCTTCCGACTCTGCAGCACAGCCTCACTCCTCCTTCCCAGGGACAGTGGCTCCTGCTGTGTCCCACACATCGTCCCTGCCTTCCCTTTCAACTGGCTAACTGACAACCCGTTTTCACTTATGTACTCAATCTTTCTCTCTGGTTTTGCACGTTGGATTTTTAAACACGCTTAGGATTCCTCACAGAAAAACTACAGACCTTCCTTCCATCTCATAGTCCCCTCCAGCCAGTGCACTTGCAGTCTCCCTATCACGGACACACTTCTCAGAAGAGCTGTCTGGTTTCCAGCCTGGCTTTTCGATCTGGACTTCACCAGCACAAATCACACCAGTGCCGTCAAGGACTTGCATGGACACTAACCCTAATAAATGGTTTTCAGTCCTTTTTATACTTGACCTCTCAAATGCATTCAAATGGCTGGCTACCCCTGGGTTCTTGAAACACATGTGTGCCTTTACTCCCATGACACAGCCCTCTGTCTCTACTGCGAGTAGAGTTCTCTGGTGAGAATTGGTGAGTTCTCGAGAGCCCAGATGTGGTTCTGTTTTCACTCTATATTTTCTTCCTAGGGGATCACATCTCATCCCATGCCTTCAAATATGCAAGTCACGTGAAAAGTTGTATCTTCAGCAACATTTTTCCTTTGAACTCCACGCTTATTTCTATAGCTTCCTCTTTGACATTTCTACTTGCGTATTTGCAAGTTTAGGACTAAACTCATGATTTTAACCCTTCCGGTCTGTGTCCATTCTGATCCTCTTCAGTGTCTCGTATCTCAGTGAAGGTTATATCAGCTTTTCAGGTGCACAAGCCAGAGATGTGTCATTCGCAACATGTCTGTTTTCCTCCCCTGCTCATCCAGCCCATCACCAGGTCTTTTCTGTTTTACTTCCTAAGCCTCTCCCCGCTCCATCTCCCCTTTCACCATCCTGCGCGTCAGTGTCCAGAGCCTCATGCTTGGGCTACTCGAGCGACTCCTCTGCTGCCTCAACTCAGTCTTCATAGGGCAGCCTAGAGGTCTTCACACGAAATGCAATTCTGATCATTTGACTCTCCTACGTAAAGCGTTTCATAGGCTTCCCATGACTCTTCAGGTAAAGACCAAACTATACAACATGACAGGCACAGCCAGACCTGCCTAACCGGCCCCCTTCTGTGGTCTCCTGCCTCACCTAAAATCCGGCTCCTTTCCCTCGGCACTCCAGCACTGGTCTTGTTTTACTGCCTCGCACGGGTCACATTCTCCTCCCCAACATGGTCTCCAAACATACTGTTTCTTCAGTTCAGAAGAAATAAGAGCATAGTCTTCTACTTACACAATCCTCTTTTTCTTATTCCCCACCCGAGAGCATGTTTGTTGATTTTAGAGAGATGGGGGAGAGAGAGTGCAACATTGATGTGAGAGAGAAACATTGATCAGTTGCCTCCCATATGTGCCCTGACCAGGGATTGAACCTGAAACCTAAGTATGTGCCCTGACCAGGAATCGAACCCACAGCATTTCAGGGTACCAGACGATGCTCCAATCAACTGCGCCACCCGGCCAGGGCCACAATCCTCTTAATAACTGGTTATTCTGTCTTCCAGACACCTAGACCAACAACCTTGAAGTCATCAAATTTCCTTTCTTTCTCTTTTACTTTACATTCAAAATATCGGTAAGGTCACATTAACCAGATCCTTAAAATACATCCAGAGTCTCATCATTCCCAGTGTCTCCAGAGCTGCCACCCCGGTGCAAGCCAGTTTCACCCAGGTGACGGCAGTAGCCTTCTAACTGCTCTTGACACCAGTGTCCTTACTCTGCCTTCATGCTGAGCATGGCGGCTAGAGTGATACATTTAAGACATCAGTTATATCATGTTAGTCTTCCTTTCAGAACCCTCTGATGCCTTCACAGCTCACTAAGAGTTCAAGTCCAAAGTTCTTCTACTGGCCTGTGAGGACCTCTCCTCTCCCTGGCTTCCCGTTACTCCCCAGCGTCCCCTCTGCTGCCCCTTCGTCACACCCTGCCACCCAGGCCGGCTCCCTTGCCCTTCCGAGAATGAGTCAGCTACCTTCCTGGAAGCAGTTGTTTTCTGTGCTGAAACACTGTCCCCACATCTCAGTATGGTCCATTCTCTCACCTCCTTCAGGCCTGTTCTTAAACAGTAACTCAGCATTTTTCCTTTCCCTTCTTTATTATATTATTATTCTCTTGTTTATTATAGAGCTTATTATTTGCCATAAAACTTCTGTGTCTTAGTTGTTTATTACATGCCCCCTGAATGCGAGTCCTGAGAGCAGGGCTTGTTGTCACACTCTGTGCATGCTGCATCTTCAGACAGCGCACAGCACCTGGACAGAGTAATCACCAAATAAATATTAGGCGAATGAATGATGTGTCTAATGGGAATTTTCTAATGGTGTGTCTTGGCCCCTCTAGCTTTCTCCCTAAACATTCCCCTTAGAACAATCTTCCTTATTCGCTAGGTTTTGTTTATCATCTGTATGCTGAAGGGACACTGATACTTCTCTCTGACCCAGACCGCCCTGCCCTGCTCACCCTGCTGTGGCATGGTGTCTCCACTCAAAACCCCATTCATCTCCAGCTCCAGGTGCACCGAGGTGAACGTGGCCCCCGCTTCCTTCCTTTCTCCCTCAATCCACCTCCTCTTACAGGGCCCTCTCCCAGAGAACAAAGCCATGAGCAACCTCCTCATTACCAAGCTGAGTTGCAAAACGCTCCCCCACCCCATCTCCATCCACCTGTACTCAGCCAGCCAACCCCATTTGTCCAAACCTCTCTACTGCCAGCGTCTTTGATCTGAGCGGCGGGGCCATCTCTGCCCCGGATTCCTTTGCTTTCTCACCAGCCCTCCGACTGTGGTCTCAGCCTCCACCAGTCCCCGCCCCTCATGTGAGCCAGGCTGGCCTTTGGAAAGGCCAGGTTTGGGAGGTACTTTGCCAAGTAATACTCTTCCGTGAGACCTGTTGCCCCCAGGACCCATCTCAGACTCTGTCAGCTGGTGTCTGAGGCCAGCCCTATGCCCCCACCCTCTAGACCTGTCATGCCCGCCAGCCTCCGCACAGGCAGGCGATTGCTTCCCCACCCACCATGCATCGTGCCCTCTTCTTTCCGGGCCTGGAAACATGCTAGTTTCTTGGTGTAATTCCTTTGCTTTTGTCTCTCTCTCCCCACTTATTTACCTTGAAAACTTCTACCGATGTTTTTTGGACTAAGCTCACGTCAAGCTTTCTAGAAAAAAGAATCACCCTGATCCTCCAAACTGGGCATGTGCTTCTTCCAGTTACCCCCAAGCACCCTGCTGCAGCAGACTTTAACACGTCTGCTGTCTCCATTGTCTGTGCCCACTGTCCAGTCTGGCCACTGTAAAGCCTCGGATGAACAGTCGTTGCATACATGTGAAATATATAAGCCATATCTTTTCATTGTAAAAATGTAATCAGGATGATTATTCAGATCATTGTCTGATCGCTTGAGGGTCAATTCTGCCTCTGCCTCTAACCAACTGCAATTTGATAACGAATTTGTGGGAAGCCTGCCTCCTCACTCCTGTGTGAAATAAGAGATGGGGAACGGGCTCCCTTCAGAGTACAAAAACCAGAATTGGGTGGGGGTCGCTTTGAAATATTAAATATATTGAAAATCACAATTATGTAAGTTCCTAACTCTTATAAAGTGACATGTATGACCACAATAATCCATAATAGATATTTATGCAGTTAGCAGGTTGGCATTTTTGATCATGAATTTGTTGCAAGGGAGACATCAATCAAATACAGCAGTCTGTAGGACGAATAAAATACACAATAGTCTTTATATATTAGAGCACTATAAAAGAAGCTGAAATATATAATTCTTTTTAAAATCCCAAGTCTTTATAGCATATGACACCTTGAAGTGCAAGTGGCTATTTCTGTTAGTCTTATGGACTACATGATCTTTGGCTGGGAGAATGAAGGGGAGGGTACCAGTGCAGAGGTGAACATTTATTTTTGGAGAAAAAAAGGTGCATGGCTTTACGTTAAGGTATTTTGCATGCTCTGTGCTGAAACTTGGCTGAAATCCATGTTTCATGCATATCTTTGAAAGGGTTCGTCTCATGAGGCAAGACAGAGCCTGCCTGTCCGGGGCTGGCATGTTAAATAGGTCACTGCAGCATGTACAGCCTTGAGGGTGCGCTCCAGGAAGGAAGCAGGTATCAAATATTTATGTCACCTGCAGAGCTAAAGTCAGCACAGCCAATGGGCAATGTGTTGTAGAAGCAGACATACAATGATTTTTATGTGAAGTCTCGCTTGGAATATGAGTGGAATTTTCTAGATTAACTCCTATCAACATTTGTCATATATCTAGTGTGCTCCTCTCTTCCATAAAAACTCCAGAGAGAGAGAATATCTTTCACTTTAAAGTGTCACAATGACAGCAACTGTTGTTAAGTCAAGGATGTGACAGTGAGCACTCACTGAGTACACGTAACCTACTTTGAGGCGTGCAAGCGAACTGAAATGCTTTATTGTGGCTCCTTCCGGCATCTTACAGGAAGATTTCAGAACCATGCACATGAAGAAGGCTTTGTTCCAACTCATCAAAACGGGTCAAAGCAGAGTGTCAGAAGCCACACGTGAGAACTGTTCGAGAGGTTCGATTCTGAAAGGCTCATTTGGCCACCTGTCTTCTCTGTGCAAAGTGATACCCTGTCCCGCACTTCTGGCTGTTGCCGGGTGTTTCCAGAATCCCATCAGCACACGTGGAACTTCGCTGAAGATGTACACGAAGATCAGTGTCAGACACTGCAAACTGCTTTCTATTCTATGTACATGAGTGTAATAAACAGTAGAGGGCCCAGGTTGTGTGAAGCCCGCGGAGGGGTAATGTAGCACAGAGGTAGCTCTGAAGTTTCAGATTTGGATGATCCTACTACTGGTGTTACCAAATACAGCAGCTCCTCTGTGTCGCACTTAGAAACAGGAACGGAGAGAACAGCACTTTAAAAATACCTTGGCACTTTTTGACTGAGCTTAATAGGCAAGTGTTTTAACTTCAGCCATCCTATCTTATCGATTAGCGAAGCACTGAAGACCACCAGCCATTCAAGAATTCTTTACCTAGAACTTAGTTCTCAACCCCGTCATCCTGTTCACGACATGCTTTCTGACTGAGCAGTAAGGGGGTTGGGTCCTGGCCAGGACTTCAGCCATTGTGCAGACCAATGGGTGTGCTCACAGGATTGTATTAAACTTCTAAACATCCTCGTTGTGCAAAATCTTGGGAGAATTGCTCATCTTAGACGTTCTTTTCTCTCCCTTTAGCAACTTTTCAATTAGAAAATGCCAAATGCATAGGATTGAAAATTAGTATATTGGGATTTATAAGTGAGACATCAAGAACACCTGAAACTATACAAAATATTATTGGATGTGAACTGTAACTGAAAGAGAATTCTTTTAAAAGTTGAAAACAAAAGAAAGGTTTTATGAATAAAGTAAATCTTAAGATGTGAGCAGTAACGAGGGTGTGCATAACATTTTTCAGGAAGAATGATTGGCTTGTGTGTGGTAGAATTTTAATGCCAGAAAATAATAAGTATACTCTTTGAAAACAGTGGGATGGGAGATTTCTTAAGCAGGACATCAACACTCATTGAACCCCTATGTTTCCCTGGGCATCACCTCACATACTCCTCATAATAACCCTCTAGTGTCATCTGCTTTAGTGTTACATTATCCAGTTAACATCGACTTGTGTTTCTTACTCAACAACTATTCTGAAAAAATCATGCTTAAGATGAAAATATTTATGGCGTCCCTTTTGCTCGTTTCTTTTTATCCACTCTGGATTCAGAAAAGCCATGTGCCTTGTTTTGCTCTCCTGTTGGGAAAGAAGAGCCTATTCTTCTGTCAGAGAAAGTGATGGATGGAACTTCTTGTGGATATCAGGGATTAGATTTCTGTGCCAATGGCAGGTGTCAGGTAAGACGTTCTAAAAGGCAGAATGCATACGCTGAGGGAGGGCTGTGGGGCCCCGGAGCAGCTGCACAGCGCGGGGGAGAGCTCTGCACGGAGAGTCCAGAGGCATGGGTGCCGTCCTAACTCAACTGTGAACTTGACCAAGCCAGATCTGCTCTGTATAATGTCGAGTTTGGTCTGGATAATCTGTCATATCCATTGCTGGTGGAAAGAATCTGAGGTTCTTATTCTGTTGCGTACATATTACAGGTCTAAAACTGTAACACTTTGGGCATTTTATGTCCAAACATTACAGACCCACAGTTCAAGACTCCAGTTCTCCATGTTTTCCTCACAGTAGAAAACTATCAAATCAGTCCTACTACTCACTTAATAGGAAAGCATTTTCAGTTTCCTTATACTTAATGCATTTGCCTCTCTCTGCTTTTTTAGAATATCTTTTATTTTTTTAAATTTATCAGGGTGATCTTGGTTGATAAGATTATATCAGTTTCAAGTATCTATTTGTATGATACATCATCTGTATATTGCATTGTGTGCCCACCAGCCAAATTTTCTCGGGTCACCATGTATTTGACCCCCTTCACCCTTAACATCCCCACCTCCCTTCCCTCTGGTATTGTTACATACTGTTATCTGTTTATGAGTTTTTGTTTGTTTTTCTTGTTTGCTCCTTTGTTGCTTTCCATTTTATATCACACACGCGTTAAATCGTATGGTTCTTGACCATTTCTGTCTGGCTTATTTCACTTAGCATGACGTTCCCAAGATCTACCCATGTAATCGTCATCTGCTGCGTGCATCTGTGTGTTCTTCATTTATCGTTAGGAAGGTAGAGATCCTGTTAAAGCAAGGATGGGAAGTATGGTGCAAAGTGCAAAGGCTAGAACCTGGAGGCTGCTGATTATAGCTCTGCCACTACCTCAGGTTGGCTTCCCTGGAAGGTCGATACGCAGGAGGGTTAATGCTGACTGTTCGCATGATCAATATCTTTGAGGCGAGTGGGAGGAGGCAGGATTGGGCACAGGGAGAAACCGGGCTGCAGCGCGGGCACAAGACCTCAGCTGATCCTCGGGGAACATCGAAACCCATGTGGCTCCTCGGAGTTGTTTCCATTTGAGGTGAGGACAAAAGCTCCTTTACCCACAGCATGTGAGCATTTGGACGCCAGCTGTCCCTGGGGGTGTGGCCTGGGGGAAGGTAGTCTTTTCTTCAGACTAGGCAGCTTCTGGAAAGGGTGGATGGCTGAGAACCATCAGCTGATAAACTTTCCTGGCATGGGAGGGAGAGAAATCCTTTAGCTATGAAAGAGCCCCCAGGCGAAGTCCACGACAGCTGCTAGGACACTGTGTTCTTGGGAAAATCACTTAAGATAGGTGTGCATCCATGAGCTAGTCTGTCAAATGAAATTGTTGGGCCAATGGTCATTGATTTTTTGTGTGTGTATTGAATATAAACATTTGAGAATTTCATGAAAAGTTTGCTTCCCCCCCCGAAAAATGTACACCTGACCACGCACACACACACCATGCATGTACACACTCACACCAACATTTGAAAACAATTGCAGGCTGAAGACAGATCAGTCTCTGGTCCTATAGAAGTTTGTGGGCTCTGGGTAAAAACTTGGAACCACCATGAAACTTAAATGCTTTGCCAGCTCTAAGATTCCGTAATTTTCCAGCATGCTATAAAGTTGAAAGCACAGAATTGTGTACTTACATTGGCATAAGAAATGATTTTATAATTACATATTAATTTCCTTTATTCTTTAACAGAATATGTCAGTAACATGAAATGTAATTTTTCATTTGTCTATAAAAACAAATCATTGCAGGCATTTGCCTCTACACATTTTGTTTTCAGAACTGCATGTTATGCAATTAAAGCTTTTAACTTAATTTTGTTATTATATATAAATCTGTCAGATTAGTGAATGTCTTAAGTGAATTATTTTTGAAAAAAATTTTTTGTAACCAAATATGCCACATACAATAGCCTACATTGCTATGCTTTTCACTCAGCAGTGTGTGTAAGGCAGACCTGTTACAGAGGTCTAGCTAGACATTCAGGTTACAGCAACAACAAAACATTATGCATAAGTCAGTGCTGTGTGAATCTGATGAAGGTTCTAGGAAATGGACTTTGACTTCTAACAGCATTGAAATACCTCAAAATCCTGGCTTTTTAACTCAAATGCTTCATTCAGTCTTTCAGTATAATTAAAAAATACTTCTTTTTTCCTGACCACCTTCAGTACATTGGGTTTGGCTTGAATGTTTTGCTTTATCACAAAACGCATAGCACTGAAGCTGAATGCAGAATTCTAACCTTGGTGAGTGGACTAAGGTTAGTGGGCTTGGTAAGTGGGCAAATGAAAACAGCGACGACTCCATCCTGGCAGAGGGCAGAGAAAGCTCTACCCTGTGTGATCCCTGCTGTCCGCCACCTCCCACACGCCCATGGTACCCTAGGTCCCTGCCACCAGTCCCACAGCATCACCTTGTCAAAGGTGTTCATCCTCACCTCTTGGACTGATGTGAGCGAGTTTTGTTAAGTGTGGATACCTGAGGCTACCAATTACAAAATACAAAATTCTTGATTCTTATTTTAAAAAATACATGATTACTGAGCCACAGCATGATGTCTAGCCCTGACTTTTATTTTAGGTTTACAGACTTGTAATATCCTGGTTACAAGGGCTAGGAAAAAAGGAGAAACTACTAGGCACTAATTGACCCAATTTTTAACTACTGTGTGTTGGGTTTGTTGTACCCACCAGGAACCAAGCTGGATGCTGGGGGTAGAGCAGGAAACGTGCTTTCGCCTGTCCAGTCACTCGAGACCACACATTTTTCTCATTTGCACACGAGAGAGAGGTTTCTTCCTCACCCCGGGACTCCCAGGTCTTTTCACAACCCCAGCAGAGTGAACTTTTCCCAGTTTGTTGTATGTGAGAGTTTCCGGTGCGGGCCACCCCTTTCATCCAGGGACATTCCCTTTAGTTCCCCTGAATAAGCTTTGATTTGCTGATCAAGACTCCTCTGCTAACGCATGGCTCTGTCTGCCCCTCGACACTGGCACACCCCGGACAGAGGGAGAGATGCTCTAGTATCCCGGGTTCACGGGACTTTTGCTCTCAGGATATTTATCCGACAGCTGCACTTGATCATCTGCCTGCCTCCCTCATCGCATCACCACCAACACCAACCACAGCCCAAAACTCTGTTTTTGTCTCTGTTTTATTCATAGTTTAGAAACCCCTCTAAAGTGACTGTAACTTATACAGGGGTATATCATCAGTCTCTCTTGAAACCCCATACTTAGGGATAATTGTGCAATTCTATTTATTTCTGGCATGAGAATGCACAGCTTTGCATATTAGGGCTGTATTTTCTTCATGTCACTGGGAGGCCAGTGTTACACACCAGGAAAGAGGCAGTGACGGAATCTCGGGAGATTCATATTAACACAGTCCCCCGGGAGCATATAAAAGTGAATTCCCCTGTCATTAATATTTTCTTACAGCCTGGGGTGTGAGTAGCTGTTTCATCCGTGTGCTGGATGCCAAAGAAACAGGGCTAGAAGTCCATTCATGAACTGGAGTGAAAATAAACATTCACATTCGGTTTTCACAAAGTTAATATTTAATAGTCGGCATTTGCTTTTCTACCATCTTAGAAGTGAAGCCATCCATATAATGAGGTAGATCTGTTCTAGGTGGAATGAATGAAGTAGATTGATTGTGTTATATTTAATAGAAATGCCATTGCCTTTGGGATTTATGTAAATTGCCTTTCCCTCAATGATGTTTTACCAAATTGTTTTACGATATCCTTTCATTTTAATATAAGAAAAATATTCTCATCACTAGTCTACTCTTTGATCACTTTAGAGCTGTCATGTGACAGGAGCTTGCTGTGTGGATTGGCACCGGGAAATGGGATACTGTACTAGGTGGTCAACTAGTCTGTAGAGATCGGGTTTGTCCTGAGTCCGAAGTGGAAAGAAGGAAGCGAAGCTCACTCACGGTGCGGTGCGCCGCCGCGCTCTCGTTACAGAAGGTCGGCTGCGACGGCGTGCTGGGGTCTCTGGCGAGGGAAGACCACTGCGGCGTGTGCAACGGCAATGGAAAGTCGTGCAGAGTCGTTAAAGGAGAGTTTAATCACACCAGAGGCACAGGTAACCGTAGTTCCATTTTCTCGGAAGTAACGATGTGAGCGGTCTCCGGGGACAGCGCGCACGTTGATCACAGTTCTGAGGCTATTGAAGACTCTGTAACGGGTTGTGAATGATTTTTTCACAATGACACACGACACATGTGACATGAACCAGAAGTCCTAACAAGCCCATTTCCCAATAATGAAAATACTAAGTCATCTGTTGTGCATTTAATAAATTGGAGCAGAGTGGGAGAAAACTGTACTTGAACAATGATTAAAATAAAATTAAAAAAAAGAATTAAAAGGAAAAAAAATAAATTGGAGCAGCAGGGGAATAACCTCATTTGCATTGGCAAGTGCTGCGGGGTTCCGGCAGGCCGAGGTCTGCAGCGCAGAGAGTGACGCTGTCCCCCGAGAGTAACGCTGCCCAGCAGCTGGGAACAACTGCTCAGAGTACTGGTCTTCAGGCTTTTAGCTTTCCATTTTCTTTATTCTCTTAATGCTTTTACTACATGTGAAGGGAATCCAGCTTTGGAAACAGAGTCTGCAGCGTGGAGCGTGGCGGGGACAGTGAGGAGCGGGGCCAGAGGCGTGGGATGAGGTTGCAGATGGACTCATGGTGGGAAGTCACCCTCTGTTCTTGTTGCCTCACCTCTCAGTGCTCTACCCTGGGGCTATGAGGATGACGCGAGCATGAGTGATCCATGTAGTGTGAGTTTTAAAATGATCCATCCCCAAAAGTAGTATCTGTGTTGAAATATAACCACCACCCACAAATCTGCTTTATGAAGAAAAAATGCCGTATACTCAGGCCCTCAAGCTTCCTGGGAAGGAGCAGGCATTTCTGTGTTTATGTCAGGGTCTCATCGGACATCTACCTATTGAACGATCTTAGTATTTGTGATTATATCGTTATCATCTTTAGTTTGTGTATATTACATACATCAGCTTTTTATTATTTTACATTTCTTTCTTAGTCAAATACAAAAAAAAACCCTGAGACTAAAACATGTATTAGTTTGAAAGCAAGAAACAAGCCATTTGTATTTGAGTCATCAGGAAAACTGCATTTATTCTAGATAGAAGAATCCTTCAGGAAAAGCATTAGATATAGCCCTCTGAAGTTGAAAATAGGCATTTGCTAGGCCCCAGCAGAATGAAAGCTAAGTGAGCCTGAAGACTTTGGAGCCTAAAAATAACCAAGGCCCATGGTAAGCTGCAGGTCCCCACCTTAGCCCCCAACGCTGCGAGACAGGGTGAGGGGTCCCACACGCCACACCCTGCCCGACCTCATCTAAAAGTCACGAGGAGCTGCAGCAGGCCCCCAGACGTCAGCTCCGAAGCATGACTATAGTAAGCTTTCAGCCTAGTTGTGCCGGCAGAAGTATTTATAGTGCAGAAGTGCAGACTTAAATCTAAGTCTGAAAGCTTAGATTTAAAGAGACTAGAATTGGTGAAGGGTATTCCTGCACACTTCATATGCATGGGCACCGTTCGCTGGAGAGTACTGAGACACAGTCAGCACTGATTCCTCTCATTGTAGCAACACTGGGTTTTCCCACCAGGTGCGGAGAAGTGCCAGTTAACAAGCTGGTGATGTTTACTGTTCTGACTGCAGTGAAGGGAGTCGGTTTCCCCCAGATTCCTACTTTAAAGGTTGTTTCTGCTGCACTTTAATGTCTGTTTTTGTTCATTTGTCTGTTTGATATAGGTAAGTTATATGAATGACATCTGTTACTTGGAAAATGTCTGAGATGCCTAAAGTACTGGAATTATCAGACTAATAATATCACTTTCTTCTGGAACTCTGCTAGTTTCACATTGCTCCCAGGGAAGAGAAGAGAAATTCTTAGCTTGGGCGGTCAAAACAGCCCTGCGCGATGCTGTCCCTGCCTGCCCCTCCAGCATCTCTCTCATCAAGGCCCCTTTCCTTCTCTAAGCTGCAGCTACCAGATTTCTTCCAGATGCTCCAGCCGCCCGAGTTCCCTCCAGCACGTTGCATTTACAAATATGGTTCTGTCAGCTTCCTCTGAACCTTGCCCGTGAATTCCTGGCCGTCACTAAGATCCCAGTCCCTGCGTCACTTATGCAGTGCTGTGCTCCTGCACGGCCTCCCCCCGCCCCACCCCCACTGACAACAAACTGCTTTAGTGACGTTTCCCATCTTTGTACCTGTATGGTAGCTCCGATCACATTTGTAACTGTACACTCAAATTGGTCTTCCCCACTAGGTTTTAATATTAGTGAAAAGAAAATGCCATGGCTATCTGTGTTCCATCCACATTCTCCATGATAAACATAATGTGTGATTCAAGACTATGCATTGATTAAATTCATAGTGAAACATTACCTTATTAAGAACTTTAAAAATAAAACCCAAAAATCTTCATGAGTCCTTAATTATATCATGGACTTCATCGACTTGTGACTTTAGGAATGTTGTATTCATTTCTCTTGAGACGATTTTATCCGTATGGTTTATGGACTTCCTAGAATTTCTTGAAGGAGCGGAGCCTCCTTTGGTCCAGTTGGCCGTGCCGCCCGCTGTGCTCTGTGACTCACACGTGTGCAGACGCATGTGGGTGTTTGCGGTCCCTCTGCTCTATTTAGGGTTTGCCGAGGCGTTTTTGTTGGAGCTAGCAAATAAACTTAAGAAGAGGTTGGTTTTTTTTTTTCTTGTACATTTGTCATGTCTTTCGTTGTAACTTGTCTAGCCAGGAGATAATTTTTTTAAGGGATTTTTTAAGGTGAATTAGGTGGAAAAGGCCAGTTGTGGAACTGTAGCGTTACCAGCTTACACTAAGGAGAAGATGGGCATAAAACATTCTCTTCTTAGTATGAGAGACAATGGTGCAGATTCTGCTTTTTGCTTGTGTTTTGCCTGTGGCGGGAGGAGAGTCAGAGAGTCACATGCTTCATTTTATAACCAGCAGCAGTGGGTCACAGCTGGGTGCTGGGCGCACAGAGTGGCATCTGACAGATACAAGTTCAAAGCCTGGGTCAGCTGCTTACTGACAGTGCAGTTTTAGAAAAGGGTTATCCCACCCACCCACCCCCACATTTATTTTCTCATCTGTTATGTGAGGAATATAATATCTACCCCTGGGTGTTATCATTCTGATTAAATGTAAGAATTTATGTAAGTCCTCTATAATAGTGATTAGCACAGGAGGTTGCTCAAAATGCGGCATTTTCGTTGTTACTGCCATGAACGTGATGGTTGCTGCTGGCACTTCACAATGGCCGATTAGCATCAGGGCCCTGGTCGTGCAGCAGAATGGCATGCTCCTGCGCACAGAGCGGCTGTCAGACCTGAGGATGCAGTTTACGGCTTTGGCATGACAAGGCTTCATTCCAACCTCTAAACTCAGTGGCAGCTACCCTTGTATTCTTTTTTTTTTTAATTACATTCTCCATTGTGCTAAAATGCTTATTTACAGAAAAATATCTAGGCCTCCAGTCACTGGCTATTATTCTTCAAATGTGTTTGCTCAATATTTCCCCCCTTCTCTTCTTTAAAGCCAGGTTAACCTGGCTATTCTCCAAGTCATTCCCATTGGGTAGCAGAAAGGTGCTCCAGATATAACTATAGCCCTAAATGTAACTGTTGTCTGAATGCACAACATACCTCTGAGTTCGCTGCCAAATGCAAGCAGAACTTCCAGTCACTACCCCTCCTCTTCCCTGTCTAGTCTTCTTTTGTAACACCCTGAAATTGAACATCTCCAAACAGCCAGCTGGATTCATTCGCTCAGAGACTAGCAGTCCTCTCTTCATTGGGACCCTCTCTTTTTGGTGTCTCCACTGCTTCTGGCAAGCTGACTAACAAATTTCTTGAGATATTCAGATCCACAGGGTCCCATTCCACCAAAATAGCCAGATCTCCTTCTTCTCGGGATCACTCCTTCTCTAATTCTTTCCTGATTTGTGTTTAATCTCTGTTAAAATCCACGACTGTCACCAGGGTGGAGTTCTCGACTTTCCTCTCAGTTGTCTCCACTCGCTTTCGTGGCAGAAGCGCTGCCTCCCGAAGGTTCTTCCATGGCCTGACGTTTCTCCGGAGCTCCAGATGCCTCCAAGCTGTCGCTGGGTACCTGTGCTTGTGTGCTGTCCCGTTTTCGTTAAATACAGATTCCAGGGCCCAGTTCATCAGATCCTCGCTCCAACTTGACCTCCGTGATCCTGTAGGCTCCAGACCCCCTCTCACATTGGAAACAACCAAATTCACGGTTTGTTTCCCCACTTTCAGCCCGTTCTCAGGTTCCCATTTTCTCCCTGCACGGTGCCTTCCCGGATTTTCACATTAGGATCCCAACACAGCCACCCGCAGCTGCATCGCTGGGTGTCCTGCATCCTGCTGTCAGAGGAAGCCTCTCCAGCTGGTGTCTGATGACCAAGCTTCTTGCTACACAAAGTTCTGTAGCTGCAAACCGATCAATTCAGTGTCCCAGGCATACATTAAAACTCTCTTTAGTGGAGCCATCTTCTTACATCCGATTCTGTCCAAGTTACGTTATCCGTGTGCTGCTAAGGGTACCACTCACTCCCTTCCTTTCTTTTCCATTCATTGAGCTCATCCTCCTTCTGTGTCTGTCCACAGCCCATCCACTCCTCAAAAGTAGGCCATCTGGACACTTCTCTCTGCAGCTTCCCTTGACTATAAAAATGGTTCTCTCCTCTGACTCATAGTGATTCTGGCTGATGCCAGTGTTTCTCAAACATGAGTAATGTATAGGACCATTTACAAGGGAAAAAGGGAAAATAAATCCCACTTCTGTGAGTTAAAAATAGCAGCAAACCTTTGAGTGGTGATGTGACCATGAGAAGGGGAGCAGTTTAAACGACATGGTTTATATTCTTTAGCAGAGAGTCAGCCATATCATTTTGTGCATGATCTTTTAAACATCATTTTTCAAGTTTTAGGTAACTTGTCTATGTCAGGTATTTCTGCCTTGTCTTTTCAATTCTGTTACCAGCTCATTGAGTGCAAAGACCTTCTTACCTTACTTCTGTGTACAAATAGGCAGGAAGCATGTGTTTCTCTTTCCATTGCTGCCTGCTGGTTCGTGGAGCAAAATGACAGTGCTTGTATGGGTTGGTATTACTAAAAGTGGGCACGCTGAAGAAAGTGCTGGCGAAGGGAAATTACGATTCTAAAAGCATAATTCCAGCCGCCACCACCAGGTGGAGTATATGCCACCTTTCGGCAAATACTTGAAACAATTCCAGGAATTTGAATAATTAATCAACGGCAGACAATTCAGCGATTAACTATTGTGCTGTTTTAAAAGTAGCTTTGAAATTAGACCTCTATCAGATATATGGAGCTATACATATATACTAAGAAGAATGTGCACCATTATTTCCATATAATTTTAAAGCATAACTATTCATCCAGAAGAGTAGGCATCTATATATTCTGCAATGACTGAACTCTTGATTTTGACTTTTTCTGCACGTTCTTTCTTTTATTGAGTGTTATCTTACCATCTTGTTTCACTTCAAGCTTTATATTCCTAAAACTCTGCTGGAAGGCCTTTCCTGAGAAACGATGAATTGTGTCCTGCTTCTAAAGCTCGGAGGCCTCTCCAGGTGACACTGGATTGCTTGGTATGGCCTTATGCTTACTTGTCTAGACACTCAGTTTCAAACCCTTTGTTCATCTGCTCAGGGAGTGCATGGCCAAGTGCATGGCCTTGGCCTTGAGCTCAGCTGCTCCAGAGGCTGGTCCCACCAGCCGCCTCTCCTGCTTCCCCACACTTTGTGACTGAAAGGAGTTCCTTGAGCAGAGTCAGAGATTACTTGCTCTGTTCCAAGACCCATGCATTTCTAAACAGGCTGTCCCATTCTGCTTTTTCTCTTCTCTGGTTCCTAAGATGTCCGTGGGCTTTTAACATAAAATGCAATTGTCTGTTTGCCTTTGATCATACTGTGGACTTAACATCTTTCCAAGAAACTTCACTTGAAATTATGACAGTTTTTGTACCTAAGGTTTTTTTCTTTCCATAGGTATTAAAATATCATACCAAAAACCAAAATCCCAAGAAGAAAGGCAAGTCGACTAAGAAAAAGCCATCTCCTAAGAACTCGAGATTTACTCCCTGACTTCCTGGCTCTTGCAGGTTACGTGGAAGTGCTGGTGATACCCACCGGGGCCCGAAGGATCAAAGTCGTGGAGGAGAAGCCGGCACACAGCTACCTCGGTAAGCTGCCCTGCAGACACAGGGCTGACCCCAGTGCGAGCCCCCTTCCCGCACCAAGCGTCTGATGACCGCAGGGACGCCAGTCTGTTTCTAGTTACGTGTGTGGATTTCCCAGGAAGCACCTCTTGTCATATCAAGTAGAAATTTCTTTCCAGGGACTTCCCAGGAGCAGAAGCAATCTGGTTGTCTGTGTGTGGAGAAGGGTAGGAATTGTTTCCACATGTTAGTCCATGTTAAAAAAAAACACTCTTTGGAGAATGTGGATATGTTTTATTTCATATGTATTCATTCATATAAAGTATATATTTTATAAATATATTTATTTCCTATATGTACATATAGGTATATTTATTGCATGTGTAAATGCATATATATATATATATATGGGCATATATGATTATTTTAGAACTAGGAAATCTTATGGGACTCTAAAAAAATTTCTACAAACTAAAAGGACTTAATCTTTTCATGAAAAATTAAGCTCCCTCTTGCCTCATCTAGGTAGACATTATTTTAAAATTTTAATTATTGCTTGTGGAAAGACTTGTATCAGCTATTTTAATTAGGCTGATTAATGGTTTTTAAGTATATGAAAGAAAATACTAAATTGTCAAAACACATATTGTTTTGTACATGCAAATTTGAAACAAAGTCATATGAAGTGATCTTTTGTAGCCATGTCATCGCAGGTGGACGGACCTACTGTGATTGAGTCTGACAAAACACAGTGTTCTTCCAAAATGTAAACACTGTATTTATAATATCTTTAAAGAAAGCCTTCATGATTTTTTTCTTAACAAAATAATGTCCCCATTATTCTTTCTCACATAAGAAATAATATCCCAGTAGGGCAACACTTCGTACATAATTTAAAAAATCCAGTGTTACATGAGATTTTGTACTCTACAATACCGAAAGTGGTCTCCACCTGGATTGAATTATTTTTCTTTTTATTAGGGTTTGCTTTCTAGGAGTGGGAAGATTTGAGGAAAGGGGATGGTAAAATAAATCCTTTGTCATATTACCCACCCATTAGTTTGTTATTACTAATATTTAAAGTTCATCAGTTTTTATGTTCTATGGTTTTAAAATGCATTTTAAGTGCAAATAAATTATCCCAAATGTCAAAATTCAGATTAAAGCTCTAATACCCAATGTTTGGAGACACTGTGCAAACTCTAGGCAATTTCAAAATATTCATTCAGTAGCAGACATCGGGCTATTACTCTGGGGGACGTGTTTTTCCCCTAAGCTGGAAAGGAATACAGATGTCTCAGTGGAAGTATCTCAAATTCTACAAAGCTCTACATCACGCTATGATTTTAAGAACCTGAAAAACACAAGCCGGTTTTACAAATGGGAAGTCTCCATACCCTCTCTAATCTCTTACTCCCCGGGCCCTTCAGCCAACCCAGTGCTGTTTCTGTCTCCTCTCTGCAGTAACTGTCTGGGTCAAGGTCAGCAAATGCCCTCCATCCATAGTGAAGCCCCATTTTCACGTGATATTTGACCTATAAAATGCATTAAAAACTGTTGACCTTTCCTCAGTTCATTAACTACTTTCCTCTTTTGGCTTCTGAGGCCTGAGGCCCCCACCCCAGTGGGAGCCCCTTCCTGGTCTCTGTGTGGGATTCCCAGCCCGTCCACGGCTCCAGATGTTTTCATGCTGTGGGCTCCAGCCAGGGTCCTGCTCTCCTCCCTGCGGTTCTGGCTCCCTAGGGAACTGCATCTACTCCATGGCTTTGTGTGTTTATTTGATGCAAATCATCAAATTTCTCCTATGTACCTCAGAAACAGTAAGTTTAAATCAAAATTTTTATTTCCATTCCATGCCCGAACCTCTTTCTCCTTTGGTTTTCTCTACTGTGGTAAATGTCACCCTATTTCTGGTTTATGACTTCTGTAACAAGTACCACAAACTTGTAGGTTTTAGAAAGCAAGTGTATTCTCTCCCTGTTACAAGGCCATCATCAGCTTCAGTGGGCCAAAATTCAAGGTGGCTGCAAAGCCTTTCTCTCTCCAGAGACCAGGGACCATCCATTCCTTGTGTTTCTAGCGCCTGGTGGCTACCAGCGTTCTTTTGCTCATGACCCATCATTCCCACATCTGCCTCCCTAGTGTCGCTGCTTTGTCATCTCTGCTATGTCCAGACCCCTCTGTACTCTTACAAGACTACATGTGAATGGCATTTCGGGCCCACATGGGTAAGTCAGGATAATCTCCCCATCTGAAGATCCGTAACCTAATCAGTTCTGCAAAGTTGGTTTGCTTGCTTGTTTGTTTGCCAGATAAGGTAGCATTCCAGGTTACAAGGATTCAGGCGTGGATGTGTTTTCTCCCCTCACTAACATTTTTTTGAGAGTTGTGGTAACCACACATTAAATTCACCATCTGAGCTGTGGGAAGTATTCAGCTCATGGGCAGTAAGTCCACTCACTTTGTTATGCGACCACGGCCACCATCCATCTCCAGAAGCTGGTCTGTCTGGGAAAACCATTCAGTGATTGCTTCCCGTCTCCCTCCCCCCTCTGCTAGCCACCAGTATGCTTTCTGTCTCCGAATTTCACTGCTCCACACACCTCGCATATGCAGGGTTGTGCAGTAGCTGCCTTTTTGTAACTGGCTCACATCACTCAGAGGAGTGTCCTCAGAGTGGATCTATGCTGTGCAATGTGTCAGAGCTCCCTTCATTTTTAAGGCTGAATAATCCTCCACTGTTTGTATATATCACATTTTGCTTATCCATCCCTTCATCCATGGACACTTGGGTCACTTCCCCTTTTTAGCTGCTGGGAATAATGCTTCTATGAACATGGGTGAACAAGCGTTTCTTCAAGACCCTGCTTTTCATTCTTTTGAGCATGTGCCCAGAAGGAGAATTGCTGAGATGTATGGCAATTCTATTTTTCATTGCTTGGAGAAACTGCTGCACACCATTTTCTGCTCTGCCAGCAGGGTGCATGGGGCCCGCTTCCCTGTGTCCTCACAACCCCTGCTGTTTCCGGCTCAGTGCGGCAGTGGGCCGTCTCCATGGGTGCAAAGGGGTACCTCTACGTGGTTCTGATGTGCCTTTCTCTAATAGTGACAGATGCTGAGCATCTCTTTGTATGTCTTTGTGGGTCATTTGCATATATTCTTTGGAAGTATGTCTAGTTTAGTCCTTTTCCCATTTTAGAAGAAGCTTGCTTATTGTGGTGGTTGTCGTTGCTGTTGATGAGTTTCAGAAGTTCTCTATGTGTCCTGGTTCTGGATCCCTTATCAAATATATTATTTACAGATATTTTCTCCCATTCTATGGGGTTTTATTCAGTTAATAATGTCTTTTGGTGCACAGAAGTTTGTGTACATGCAATTATTTTTAATTTTCAGGAAGTTCAATTCACGTACTTTCACTGCCTGTGGCCTTGGTGCCATATGCAAGCGCTGACCAATTGAGTGTCATGAAGCTTTTACCTGCTGTTTTCTTCTAAGAGTTTTATAGTTTTAGGCCTTATGTTCAGATCTTTGATCCATTTGGAGTTAATGTTTGTGTGTGGTGTTAGCTGAAGGTCCTGCTTCACCTTCCCGTGTGCAGTTACCCAGTTCTCGCAGCCACACTGGTTGGAAGGCAGCACTTTCTCCACTGAGGGAGCTTGGCGCCCTCCTCAGAAATCACTGGGTGGGGTTTTCTGCCTGGAATCTACATTCTGTTTCACTGCTGTCTGTCTGCTTTTAGGCCCTGAGCACGCTGTTTTGATTAAGGTAGCTCTCTAGTAAGTTTTAAAATCAGGAAGTGAGAGTCTCCAGCTATGTTCCTCTTTTTCAAGATTGTTTTGGCTATTAGTGTCACCTGAGATTCCATATGAAGTTTAGGATAGTTTTCTTTTTACTTCTGAGAAAAAGGGGGGCATGAAGAATTTGATAAGGATTGCATTGAATGTGTAGGTTCCTTTGGATAATATTAACATCTTAATGATATTAAGTCTTACAGTCCATGAACCTGGAATGTGTTTCCATTTATGTCTTCTTCAATTTCTTTCAACGGTGTTTTGCAGTTTTCATTGTACAGTCTGCACCTCCTTAGTTGAGCCATTCCCAAGTGCATTCTTCCTTTTTGATGCTATTATAAATAGAATCATTTTCTTAATTTCACTTTCTGATTGTTCATTTCTAATGTATAGAAATGCAGCTGCTTTTTGTGTGTTGACTTTATACCCTGCTACTTTGCTGAATTCATTGATTAATTGTAACAGTTTAGGAGAGTTGTAAATCTTTAGGGTTTTCTACATATAAGATCATATCATCTGTGAACACAAACCATTTCCCTTGTTTCTTTGATTTGGATGCTTTTTGTGCTCCTAAATTTGGTTTTCTAGTATTTTGATGAGAATTTTTACATCAGTGTGCATAAGAGAAATTATTCTGTTGGTTTTTTGTTTGTTTTGTTTTTATCTGACTTTAGTCTCAGGAAAATGCTGGCCTCCTAGAGAGTAAGGAGGTCTTTCCACCACTTCAGTACTTTTGAAAATTTGAGGATTGGTGCTAGTTCTCCTTTATTTTATTTTTATTTGTTTTAGATTTTATTTATTTTTACAGAGACGGGAAGGGAGGGAGAAACAAAGAGAGAGAAACATCAATGTATGAGAGAAACATCCACTGACTGCCTCTCACACACCCCCCAGCTGGGGACCTGACCCACAACCCAGGCAGGTGCCCTGACTGGGAATAGAACCGAAGAACTTTTGGTTCACAGGCCAGCACTCAGTCCCCTGAGCCACACCAACCAAGTTTATGTTAGTTCTTTAAATGTTTGGTAGAATTTACCAAAGAAGATATAAAGTCCAGGGCTTTTCTTGGTTGGGATATTTTTGATTACTGATTCAGTTTGCTTACTACTTATTAGGTATATTTAGGGTTTCTGTTCCTTTGTAGTTCAGTCTTGGTAGGTTTTGTGTTTATAGGAATTTGTTCATTTCATACCCAATTTATTAGCATAAAATTGTTCATAGTAGTTTTGTATA